CTACATGGGTCATTAGATGCCTTCCTGTGCACACCCAGAACTCTTTTACAGAATTTAATATGAAGTTTTTCTGGAATTAATTTATCTGAGAAAAGTTTTGTTTCAAAATTGCAATTGTCAACTGTACATTTATTTTTACCAGACCCCTTGTAGATGTTCAGCATAACCCCTCCCCACACATCAGCCCCATATAAAGCTGTGGGTTTGATAATAGAGTTAAATAGTTTTTTAGCCAGACTAACAGAATAACATTCCTCACTGATCCAAAGCATTTTGTACATCTTGAACAGTGCTTCTAGTATCTTTTCCAGTGGTGGCGACACGGGGGTTGGGGGCGGGGCAGATCGAGAGAGCAGTTCCCCTCCACAATCAAGCTAAAACCCTCTGTGTCATAAAAATTAGCCCCTCAAAATGCAAGAAATAGCGTTTCAGAGGGTCTAGATTTCAAAATTTTTAAGGGGGAGCTTGCCCCGGACCCCCAGGTAAGGTCGCGCCTTAGGCGCAAGGTTGGTGAGCAGATCTCGCCCCCCCCCCACCCCCATGCAAAATTTCGTGCCACCGCCTCTGTATTCACACCAATCAAAGGCCACCACTAAACCAGGATTTAAAATAACTTTGCTTACCATTGCCTTTTTTAAAATACCACCAGACTTTTTTGCCCAAATTTGTCTGCACTTTTTTTTTAAATTCTTCAATCACAGTCCCTCCACAACTGTGCTTCAATATTTCTGGAAATGAACCCTAATTTTGGATCCAACTGACAAAATCTGAGTCAATTTTCAGTTTATTCGAAAAATGTGTCTATTTTTGTACCAATCTTCTGCAAGAAAGTGCAGACTATAAACAGGACTGCAAGTATTATGTGAATTTGTGATGAAAAGAGGGAACTGGTGGTGAAAAGGTTAGAGAGCGGTGGTCGCCACGCCAAGCATGTGCGATGTTTGTGTTGATTTTCCCTTAATTCAATGCGTTCTTCTTCTTCTAATGAAAATAGTTATACATGTAATAGTAAGAGTTTTGACCTGGGTGTAAAGAGTACTAATTACAGCTGGAGAAATTACCAAGTTAAAGCTTGGTAGTGTACCAGTTTGTACTCAAAACCAAGAAATTAGGAAGTAAAGCCAATGGATTAGATGGTGAAGCCAATAAATTAGATGATGTGCCAATACATTAGATGATGAAACCAGTAAATTAGATGATGAAACCAATGGATTAGATGGTGAAACCAATAAATTAGATGGTGAAACCAATAAATTAGATGATGAAACCAATGGATTAGATGGTGAAACCAATAAATTAGATGATGTGTCAATGGATTAGATGGTGAAACCAATAAATTAGATGATGTCTCAATGGATTAGATGGTGAAACCAATAAATTAGATGGTGAAACCAATAAATTAGATGATGTGTCAATGGATTAGATGGTGAAACCAATAAATTAGATGATGTCTCAATGGATTAAATGGTGAAACCAATAAATTAGATGGTGAAACCAATAAATAAGATGATGTGCCAATGGATTGGATGGTGAAACCAATAAATAAGATGTCGCAATAGATTAGATGGTGAAGCCAATAAATTAGATGATGTGCCAATGGATTAGATGGTGAAGCCAATAAATTAGATGGTGAAACCAATAAATTAGATGGTGAAACCAATAAATTAGATGATGTGCCAATGGATTGGATGGTGAAACCAATAAATAAGATGTCCCAATGGATTAAATGGTGAAACCAATAAATTAGATGATGTGCCAATGGATTAGATGGTGAAGCCAATAAATTAGATGGTGAAACCAATAAATTAGATGGTGAAACCAATAAATTAGATGATGTGCCAATGGATTGGATGGTGAAACCAATAAATAAGATGTCGCAATAGATTAGATGGTGAAGCCAATAAATTAGATGATGTGCCAATGGATTAGATGGTGAAGCCAATAAATTAGATGGTGAAACCAATAAATTAGATGGTGAAACCAATAAATTAGATGATGTGCCAATGGATTGGATGGTAAAACCAATAAATAAGATGTCCCAATAGATTAGATGGTGAAGCCAATAAATTAGATGATGTGCCAATGGATTAGATGGTGAAGCCAATAAATTAGATGTCCCAATAGATTAGATGGTGAAGCCAATAAATTAGATCATGTGCCAATGGGTTAGATGGTGAAACCAATAAATTAGATGATGTGCCAATGGATTAGATGGTGAAACCAATAAATTAGAAAGTGAAATTAGGAATTCAATCTTGCATATTTGTCCCATGCTATCGCCTTAGGTGGGTATGGGGTCGGGATGACATTGACTACAGCATTATAGAATAGAATATGTACTGCTATCATACACATACATCATGTAACACATTTACCAAATGGCGACCATTTTTGTACTGACAAATCATCAAAATCAAGCATTTCTTGACTGTTTACAGATGGATTTTGTTCAAACTCGGTACATGCGTTGGACGTTATAGATCCTTGATGCAAGTCATTTTGTTTTTCAGATAAGATTGCAGCCATTTTGTTTTAATGAATGTGGTTCTAGGGCCATATCTCTGTCATGCTTTGATTATGTTCAAATTTTAAATATTCATTATACATCATTTCATAGATATACATATATATTGGTTTGACGATCTGATTCAAAATGGCGTAAAGATGGCAATTTTTGTGCTAAAAATCTTCAAAAATCAAGCATTTCTGGCATTCCAAAACCAGATCTTGGTCGTTTATGGATGGATTTTGTACAAAGTTGGTACATACATTAAACATTAAATGACCTTAATTTTGTTTCTTAGATAAGATTCAAAATGGGTGACTGGTAGCCATTTTGTATTAATTAAAGTAAGTCTAGAGCCATATCTCTGATATGCTTTGACTGATGTTAAAATTTTATATATTCATTATAGATCATGTCATAGATACACAGATGTATTGGTTTGACAATCCTATTAAAAATGGCCAACCGATGGCCATTTTGTTTTAATTAATGCTGTCTCAGGGCAATATCTCTCAAAGTACTTGTACTATATTACTATAAACAAAACTATATAACTAGATTTGATAACTAACGGGGACTATGCCATGGTGCATGGCTTGTTTAATAATGATTAATTTATTAAAATAATGTGGTTTAAATTATTTTTTTAACTTTTGATCAAAACTGATATTTTAAAACTACAGAATATTTATTTCAACTAACATTCTGCTTGTTTTATTTCGAGCTGGCAATGTCAGTACATCAGGTGCCCTTGGACATCATCATCATGATCATAGTCATGAACACGGCCACACCCATGAGAAAATGGATAATCCAGGCTTATATACAGACAGAATGAAACCAGAGCTCAGATCAAACTGGAAACAGGTATAAAGACATATTAAGTTATTTGATTTATAACCATGGTATAATTTTCTTAATAAAATAGATGTAAGATTTTAAATTGACCAATCCAGAAATAGTATTGTAACATCATTGTCAGGGTTTTTTCTATGAAAAAACTGCAAGAGGGAGCACTGCAATTTAGCGGCGCCACCAAGTGGGGGAAATAGGGTTCTCCCTACCAAGGTGTGGAGTTTTTGATAATTCTAAGTTAAAATGAAGCATTCTATGGCTTCCTTGGGGCCAAAATTACTATCAGACAGGTCACAGTTGAAGACTGTGGCCACATGTGATCCCTGGTCAATCAGAATTTTATGGTTGCCAGAGGATCTGCTCCCCCAGGGTAAGGGGGCGCCCCTGTTCCCTTGTTTAAACAAATCCCTTATTGTGAATTTTAATTACTGGTAATATTAATTAATATTAATGAGCTGGTTCAATATCAACCAACCAGTAAGCCCTCATTTTGATTAAATGGGCGACAGTGTATGTGGATTATGTGCATGGATAATGTTGAGCAATTGATTTAATCACTACTAAATGTTTGAATTCTAATGAAAGGTAATTGCGACAGCACATCTTTGGTTTTGATCTTGAACAACATCAAGTTATTTTTTTTTATACTTCTTTAGCAATTCTGAAGTTGGTACCTGGAGTATTATTCTTTTCAAATTCATTAACTTAAAGTTGTAGTTTTTAGCTCTGCTGTCGACTTTGTCGAGCGGAGCTTTTTTTTTTTTTTTTTTTTTTTTTAATTTCTTTCTGTAAGACCCTTTTTATCCTTTCCTAAGGATTTTATGCGTCTAATAAAAAATAAAATATAATATAATATCGTCGTTCGTGTCAATGTTTTACTTTTTCGCCTTCTTCTTGAAAACTACAAGCCTGAATGCTTTGATACTTGGTGTATATGTACCTTGGGTAGACCTCTCTTAGGTTTGTTCATTTCATGTTGATATCTTCAATTCTCTAATTTTGGTGAATATTTTTGTCTTTTTTGGTAAAAAGTGATATTTTCGACTTCTTGTTAAAAACCAAAATTCCAATTGCTTTGATATTACATATATAGGTACTACATGTGGACCTCTCTCACATTTGTTCATTTTGTAATGATATCTTTAATTCTCTAATTTTGGTGAATATTTTTGTCATTTTTGGTAAAAAGTGATATTTTTGACTTCTTGTTAAAAACCGCAAGTCCAATTGCTTTGATATTACATATATAGGTACTACATGTGGTCCTCTCTCAGATTTGTTCATTTCATGATGATATCTTTAATTCTTTAATTATCATAATTCAATTATCTAATTTTGATGATTATTTTTGGTGAAAAGTGATATTTTTGAATTCTGGTTGAAAACTATACATATTGTTCATCTTCTGTTCTTTAATTGAAATGTGCATTGCTAACAGCAGAGCTATCTCAGCCGACAGGCTGCTTGATTTTTATAGAGTTTATTTTTCATTCTATTCGTCTGTTTTTTTCCAGTTTAAAAAATATGAGCTCGCTGGAGCCTTCATCCCTTGTCTATTTCTTACACAAGATACCAGCCGATACCCCCCCCTCCCCATAGAGACTGCATACAGTTGATCATAGTTCCTGGGCTCCCTATGCTGTGTGCTTCGTTGTTGTTGTGGCACTTTCTCTTGAAAAATATTTATTCGCATAAAGCAAATATGCGAGATCTGTATCTTAAAGTAATTTCACATTTTTGTCGTGTATTGATACAATTTCAACTTTCTCAATTTGGTCAACAGAGGGCGTTCACAGTCGGCATTGGTGGACCAGTTGGTTCTGGAAAAACTGCCTTAGTACTGGCTCTATGTCAGCTCCTTAGAGAATCCCACGGTCTCTGTGTCGTAACAAATGATATTTTTACTAAGTAAGTAAAGTTATGGTATCATTGGAAGTATGTTACAAGCAAAACAATGTCCATATTGATGAAGTCTGACATTAACTTTAAGAACTTAATCTTCAGCTTTTGTTTATTTTCCATAACTACATGGTATATTCTCATCACGTTATTAATATTTTTAGTTACAAAAAATGATGCACACAATGTATGAATTAATAAAGCGTAAATTGAATGAATAATTATTGTGAAAATTGTAATAGTCAAATATGAAATGGAACATGCTTAATTTGCTGTAGCATTGTAGAGAAATTCAGCAGTTATGTTTGCCAAGACGTTTAAACATCATAAATTTTGAAATGTGAAGAGTGTCATACAGCTTGTGTATTTACATATAATGCATAGGACTTGTATCGGACAGGACATATCATTATGACCTCCATCTTTTAATCAGTCACATGACATTCAGTGAAGAATTAATATTTTTGCCAATGCGTATATCTCTTATATATTTAAAAATGAAAATTTAAGAATGAGAGACTGTTAACAGTTTATTTATCAGTGTTAAAATAACGTTCCAGATTTACTGTTCTACTCTGTAAGTTCAGCAAAACCTTATCAAACAGTTGAACATTAAAACAGTTGTATATGGTGATGATATTTACTCCTTAGGATTGCTAAGCAACAACATAAAAATCCATACATACTTGTAGTGATGACTACTAGCAAGGAATAAATAATTTTGCTTCTGTTAATTAAAACCATATTTGATAATATTTTTTATGAACTGGATATGCCTGAGTTTGCGTAAGCTGTACGACCTGTACAATATTTTGATCAAGACCTGTATCTGTACAGCTTTCAAAAGTTTACAAATAGGAAGAGAAAAAAAGTACTTTTTGTGTATAAACGTGCACTGAAGTATTGACGTAGTGCACTGCTAGTAGAACATTTCACCGTATTCTGTTCTGTTCAGGGAAGACTGGGAGTTTTTAGTGAAGAATAAAGCATTACCTGAGGATAGAATGAGGGCTGTTGAAACTGGTGGATGTCCCCATGCAGCAATAAGAGAGGTTTGTATATTAAAACTTTGGTTACCATAGTAATAAGAAATTCATCTAAAATTAGTGGATATTAAATTTTGTTTTTCGTGCTTACATCTACAAATTTAGTATAATATATATACCGGTAGTACAATTAAGACAACTGTTTTTCAGTACATGCCAGTATTTGTTTTATCACTTGTATGGTCATATATGAAAGCTGTCGAGCCTTTTTCACCACAGTTCACTCTTTTCATCACAATTAACAAAATAGTTCTGTTTATAGTCTGCACTTTCCTTCAAAAAATTTGAGCAAAAATAGCCAAATTTAAAAACTGAAATTGATGCAAATTTTGTCTGTTAGCTCCAAAATTAGGGTTCATTTTCACAAATATTGAAAAATATAGGAAAACAAATCTGGGCTAGAAAGTCAGGTAGTGAAAAGGCTAGGTGTCATTTGATTGTGTACGTAGTGTACGTCTTGTACTTTTTAGTCCTTGTTCAGGCGCAGCCTGAAAAGGGGACTTTATGATTCAGGTTTTGTCCGTTTTCCGTCTCCAACATTTTCTCAGAAATTCTACAGCAGGTATCAGTGAAACTTGGCAGGTTGATGAACAAGTGTCTTCCGAGTATGCACGTAATTTTTGTTCCAGATCTAAAAATACCAAGTGGGTCTTTTTCACGAATTTTATCAAAAATGACCTCTCCCGGCAACATTGACAGAATGTCAGCGCATGCTCAGAATAAATTAATTACTGTAAAATACTTTATTTTTGCTTGCAACATTTTTTTGCTATTTTCGCTGAAGGAATGTAAAATCCTATATTTTACAGTCAAACTTGTCAAAAATCAATGAAAATAAATTCAATACAAAACACCCAGAAAAAGTCTTTTCAGCAAATGATAATTCCAGCTGAAATAAAATATTTTACAGTAGATTAAATCTGTGAGTAACGCTGCTGTTATTACGGCACGTGATTTCTCCATTGCGTGCAATTTATTATAGTACTGTTTATACATGTATTCTGTTGGGCTCAGTTGTCTCATTCACTAGTTACTAGAAGAACTAGTAACCTTGTTTGATTTCAAGAACTTCAAGAAGGTGGCATAAGAGACGTGTTTGCAAAGGTAAGTTCTCCAGTTTCAGCAAAATTGAATGTATTTTGGGGTACGATTGGTGTACATTCCGTGACGTACGTACGGACGTGAATATTATGATGATTGCCAGCTTTATATTCTTGTGAAAAGCCCAAAAAGCAAACAATTGTCTCCAATCGACGAAACTATTTTGTAAATTGTATACCCTGTCAAATTATTGTACACGGACGATTAATTCATGGGGACATAGTTTCAAGTAAATCGTTATCCGGTCTTTTGCTTGTGTCGCGATTTCCGAAATATCTACAACTCGGGGGGGGGGGGGGGCCCTGTGCCAATCAACTTATTCTTTATATATAATAAGGTGGCTTAGGATTATATTCGAATTTTTATGTTGGGAGCTTTTAACGGTTATTTGAAAGGAAAATTTTGCCAATCCCTGGCAATTCAACATGGCCAAGGTGCAGGGACAACACGTGAAGACAAATTTTTAAAACAAAATTTAAAATTTGAAAATTACCTATTTAATATGCAAAACCAGGGCCTAAAAAGGTTATTTGCAAAATTCAGGACAACCACCCTTGACTTTAAATTTGAAAAGGGCAAACATATTAATGGGCGGCTGGATAAAAAA